TGATTGTTGGCTGAATTGAAAAGTCCAAGACACGTTTAGAGGAGAGGGATGCTAAATACTACAGCTGTACAAATTTCTTTTAATATTGTTACACAAATTATGTCATCTTTGAATTCTCTTACACATCCATTTATACCATTTATCATAGAAACTAACTTAAAAATATATGTATCAGGGCCAGAGCAAGAGTACAGTGGGTAGGGAGCTTGCCTTGCATGCAGTTGACTTGGGATTGATTCCCTGCATCACATACGGTTCCCTGAGCCCCACAAGGAGTAATCCCTGAATGCAGAGCCAGGAATAAGCCTTGTATACAGCGGGTGTGGCTCCCTCAAACAAAATATGCAACCAAAAAAAAAAAGATATATATCAAATGTCTGCACCAAGTTTAAACTTCCTAGGAATCTCAGTCCTAGAAGTGGCTGCAATTATGTCATTATTCATTATAAACAAGTATAGATAGCATATAACCAAATTTATCACATCAAACCTAGCTTATCATTATCTTTGAATTATTTCCATGAAAACTTTTTCTGGGTTCTTATTGTATTGGTGTATGAGTGTGGAAAAGAGCAGATCGGTTTTCATGATCATAGATTTTAAATATTTACTTGATCGTATTACATAATTTAGCAGACTGGTGTTGGAAGGCAGTTTATGTGATAGCTTATGCCAGACCAGTGTTCCAGAACATAATTTCCCTCTGTGACTTCTATGGGAAGCTGTAAAAACGAAAAGCATTGTACTCCATTTTTCTAACCAATTAAAACTGTCTTACTGTAAATTCACAAATCAATGTCTGTCGTATACACAGAATTTTATTTTGCATAATTACCATATAGTTTAAGAACCAAAACAGTGTCTTATAGGATGTTATTGCACAATATCAAAAATAAAATATTAATTCTTGTAATTCAAATTTTTTTTTTGTAGTTCACCTTTTAATGAAAACAACAAGGAGGTATCTAGACAGCTTATAAATGCATACTATCTTTTGGAAAAAAAAAACAAAAACAGAATTTTGTGTTCTGTGGCTCAAAATGTGGAACTGTTATGAACCAAAATATGTTAAGGTTATTGTTATAATTCTTTAAAATATCTCTTAAGGAGAGCAATATCCTCATGGTTAAAAGTTTAAGAAAACATTATCCATCCACTGTTGGATCCTGAGTAAGAGTCACAGCTGTGATGATAATGGTTGGGGACAAGTGTGCCCTGACCCAAGGCAGCTGGCCATGGGACTTTCTGTGCTGATAAAGTTTGGGAGAAAGTGTGCTCTGACCCTGTATTTTCTTGTGCGTGTGTGTGTTTGAGAAAAATTATTTATTTTATAATTCAACTATGCATTCTAAATCTGATACAGTTCTTGCCATTTATAAAACAGCTTTGCTATTTCCACTCTGGAGAAGTGATTTTTTAAATATTTTTTATTTTATAAGTTATTTAACATTGTTTGATTACGTTTAATATTCAAACACCCATCCCACCACCATTACACCTTCCCACCACCAAATTTGGGATGTTTTCATCCCAAACCCCAAGCAGCCCTGTCCCAAAACACAATTGAAATAATTTATTTCGTATTGTCTGTGGTAAAGAACTGCTGAACATGCTTACAAAAAAGTGTTCATACAGGAAACAGTGTGAAGATCGTTCTATTTTGGCAGGAGCCGTTAAGACATTCTAGAGGATATCACTAACATGTTGTTAAAGTTTGGGTGATGTGGACTATGGTTTACATATCTGAAAATATGTATATATGCATATATATTTCCCTCTATGATTTGTTGCCTACTGTCTGAACCCCATCAAATGTGGTATGGTAATTATGGAGAATGGGTAGAGAGTGTCCTATTATGTGTCGTGGCCGTGTGGTCCAAGAATATATTTACTCATGTATGAGGCTGGGCCTGAGCGTGTGGGTAGCAGCCTTGAGCGTGGCGGTGGTTGGGTTGTAAAGGTTTTTGACTGCCGGGGATGGGTCCCATGGGGCGGGGAGGGCTCTCACCTGCCCTCCTCTGGGGGCGCCTCAAGTGAAACAGCCTGGTGCAGAGGCCGGCGGCATGGCTATGGGGGCCTCATGTTGTGCTCCCTTCTGGGAGAAGCCTGACCCTGTATGTTTTAAAGGATCATTTGCTCCTGTGTGAACTGTATCTTGCTCTTCCTTTTGATATATGGATATAACTGTAACTTGTTTTCCTTATGCTTCATTAGAATGTGGGGAAATTGCTTTATGATTACAAAAATAAGTAAAAACTGTAGTCTTGCAGCATTTTAATCCACACTTTGGAATGTGCTTTTGGATTCTAAATGAAATCTCAGTTTTTGAATCATTGGTCCAATGGGTTTCACGCCTCTCGACCTCTGGATCCGCCATGAAACACTTCCGTCCTACTCTCCCATGTCTTGGATATTTCATTATTAACTTGAGTTTAATAGGATCAGAGTATATAAATGTTCCCCTTAAAGTTGTCCCTTTCATCTTTTTTTTTGCTTTTTGGGTCACACCCGGCGATGCTCGGGGGTTACTCCTGGCTCATGCACTCAGGAATCACTCCTGGTGGTGCTCGGGGGACCATATGGGGTGCTGGGAATCGAACCCGGGTCGGCCATGTTGGCTGCGTGCAAGGCAAACGCCCTACCCACTGTGCTATTGCTCCAGCCCCTGTCCATTTCATCTTTTAATTTTCCTTTAAATCTTTTTTAACCCTCTGTACTTCAGAAATGGACAATAGTGCTTTGCCCTTGGAAGTTAATGTAATCAGGCAAGAAACTTAGTGTGCAAGATCTGATTAATACTATACTTGTGATTTTGCTACGTCCTTCGTGTGATTGGTTATTTGGTTGCCCTACTGCATGTCAGTAAAGAATAGTTCCAGTTATCGGTTTTTGTGAAAATGAAATAAAGGGACATTCCACCATTGCCACCATGTGAGCTCATCATGCGAGCGCTGAAGGCTTGTCCTCAGAGGCTCACGATTAACTATTGATAGAGATCAACTAGCTGTAAAAATTTCTCAGATACGTCAGCTCCTGGCTGAAAACTCTGGGGTAACCTCTGGAAGGGGGTAGGCCCAGACCCTGCCCTGCCCAAGCCCAGGCAGCCAGACTACATACAGTGCCTCATGACTGAGCTCTGCAGAGACATCAACAAGCAGAAAATTTCAAGTACACCATTTTTTTGGGGTGGGGACAGTGGCGCCTGAAAACTTCAGGTCTTCTGGGAGTGGGGGTGGGTAATCCCACTCCCCCTTACTTCCAGAAGCCCCAGCAACCTCACCCCACATTCCACTCCTGTTATCATATACGGTCAATATTCTGGATTTTCTGGCATATGCAGTTGTATTTGTGACCATGCAAAATCTCTAAACTCGGGGGCCAAAGTGATAGTTCAGTAGGGAGGGCATTTGTCTTGCACACAGAGACCAAAATTTGATCCCCAGCGTCCTATAAATTCTCCCGAGCACTGCCAGGAGTAATTCCTGAATGTGGAGCCAGGAGTAAGCCCGGAGCATTGCCAGGTGTGACAAAAAAAGTAAGAAAAAAAATCTCTAAACTCTACAATAGTAATATCTCACTAGCAGTACAATACAATACTAGCACACTGGATTGGACAGGAACCTAATGTTAGCCAACTGAGACCAATTAGTAAAAACATAACACAGAAGGCTCAACTAGCAACAATACCTTAGAAAATTCCCAAACAAAGACTTTATGTCTCCATAGTGAGATATAACAATTTTCACAAATTTTCTTTTACTGAAGTACTGTTTGATAATTCCATTATCCATTTAGTGGTAACAAACAAAATAAAATAGAATATTTTGGGCTTGTTATGGGTCAGGCTTGAGGGGTGGTTAGGACAATGGGGACAACAGTGGAGGGAAGGTGACAGTGGAGGTGGGATTGGGATTGGAATATTGCATGCCTGTACCAAATGAGTCATAAGCAACTCTGTAAGCTACGGTGTTTAAATACGGTGGAAAAAATTTAAAAAATAATATAAAGAAAATGAATATGAATCCTTAACTTCATTAACACTGGAAGATATTTTCAGATTTAAGATTGAAGTTTCTGACTCTATGTTTGGAAAAGTTTTCCTACCCATGTGGGTTCATGTGGTACAGACTGTTAATTTTCAAAATTCTAGCTCTTTTTGCAATTCCTATGCAAGTTAAATGCATGCCTGGTATTCTTTGTTCCAATGTAATCTTGTAGTACTGCAAAACAAAAACAAAATATCCCCCCCCCACAAAAAGAACCCTCCCCAAACCCCATGGATTAAATTATGCAATAAAACTCAGCTGTCCTAAAGAGTGAGGATAAAGATTTTCATGTCATACGAAGCTTTTGCAGTCTTGCGTTTCAATCCCTCAACGTAGTTTGGATGAGAAAAATATATGTACAAATTCTTTGAATTTTTCTCTTTACCCACAATCCCAGCTCTAGCTTGCCTTGGAGTACCTTCACCACAAGGCAAGAGGAAATAGTGGTGGTTGGTTTATTTGTTTTTAAACAAAGCGGGGCTTGGTCAATTGCGCTGCCTCGGTCTCAGGCATTTCAAGGGTCCTCTGAAACTGCAAGTGGGATGTGCTGGTGTCAGAGCCCCAGGCTGAAGAGGGGCCCGGTGCATGCTGGATCTTGTGGTCCTTGCGCTGGAGGGGCGGGAGCCGTGCTGCAAGGCATGCTGGGAATTGAAGTCCAACGACTCTACAAGCGAAGCGTCTGAGAGGCGCCGCCTAGGGTGAAAACCGTCCTTTGGTTCTCATTTTGCCGCATGACCGCCTTAGGGAGCTGGGGGACGAGCAGGAGGGGGAGAAAGGATGGAAAGAGCCAGCAGAGTAGGGGCTTGCAAGGGCTCACCCGGAAAAGGACCCAGTGCCCCGGAAGCAATCACCCTCGGTGGGGAGGCGGGGCAGCAGGGGGCGGGACGGGTCAAGCCCTGGCGCTACGGTGGCCCGGAGGGGTCCGTGCCAGCGGTGCGGCGCTGAGGTCCGGGCGACTGCGAGAGTGCGGGCTGCTTTGGTGGCGGTGGCTGCCAGCGCTGGACCGTTTCCCGGGTTGGTGGCTCCTGCACCTTCCAAACCAAATCAAACCAAACCAAAACACGTCTCCACTCCTCTTTCGGTGAGGGTCGAGTCGGAGCAGGTTGGGGCTGAGCCTGTATGGTCCCCAACTGTCCATCGGGGGTCTTGGGGCATCCCGCCCTCTGTGCGGCCAGTCCGTTCGGGCGCCGGGGTGGGGGCGGGAGGGGCTATCGGCGTGTCCCTCGCTGGCCGCCCCGGGTCCTGCGCGTGGGAGATGACCAGCCCGGAGCTGGCCGGGCTCGCGGGCCGCTGCAGGCACCGCCGCTGGCCCCCGGGCCGTGGCACCGGCTCCTCGCCTGCCACTTTCCTTCCCCTTTGCAGCAGAAAAACCCTGCGAAAAGGAAAACCCGAGGTGGGTCCGCCGAGGGGTCCGCCCGCCCACGCCCCCGGCCGGGTGCTTCCCTGCCCGCGGCCTCGCTGAGCACCCCGGAGGGCTTTCCCGCGCCCGAGGGAATGAATGGCCTTTCCTTCTCGGTTGCTTGTAATTTGTAATTAGATTGAGAGTTATTGAAGATCCCCAGAGGGCTTGGAAAGGCTTGGAAAGGCTTGGAAAGATACAGTGTAGCTCTGGTTCCAGTATAAGATACATGCAGCGTCTTTCCTGGACGGGGAAGAGCCCTGAAGTCATCATTACTTAAGTCATCCAATAGTCTGGTGCTATACTGATAAGTTAATACCAATTCTTGCTGTAGAAAGTCTTTCTAAAACCCCACCCCAAGGTGCGATCTCTGTATTCGGCACCTCGGTGCAGGCCCTCACCTCGTCCGGGTCCTCGGGACTCCCGGACCTGGAACGCGCGGCTCTGCAGGGGAGGGGGCGTGGAGGCTGGGCATACCTGGCCTTGGGACTCACATTTCTTGGTTGTGCATTTTTTTTGCGTGATTTTTCTAGGGGTACCCTGCTACGCCTCATCCCTTAGCTCTTGCTATCTGGCTGGCTCGAGTGGAATTTCTCCCAGTTTCCTATCCTATTCGGATCTTAGTTCCCCAGAGATTTTTTTTTTTTTTTTTGCCTTTTGCCTTTTGCATTGATTTTCTGTCAGTTCATAACAGGCTCAAGGGAATGGTCTGTCCTTCTTGATTGCTTGTAATTTGTAATTACATTGAGAGTCATTGAAAGTCCCCAGAGGGATTGGAAAGGCTTTGAAAGATAAAGTGTCTCGCTGGTTCCAATATGATAAATAAAGCGTCTTTTCTCACCCGGGAAGAGTATTTAAGTAATTATTACTTAAGTAATCCAATAATCTGATACTATACTAAGTTAATATCAATTCTAGCTTTATAAAATCTTGCAAATTTTATAAAGCTAAAATAAAGTAATTAATAAAGTATAAATAACGATTTAAGTATAAAGTAATTATTTATGTATAATTAATAAATTATTAATAAAGAAATTATTAAGAAATCCAATCATCTGATTCTGTATTAAATTAATTTCAATTCTTGCTTTATAACATTTTGCTAACTGCTTAGTGCTGAAACATGCCAAAGACAAGAAATTATATGGTTTAGTAAAAGGAATTTTTTGTTTGTTTTGTTCTTTGGGCCACATACAGCGATGCTTAGAGGTTGCTTCTGACTCTGCCCTCAGGACCTGCTCCTGGAGGTGCTCGGGGAACCATATGTGATGCAGTGATCTAACCCCTGTTGGATCGTGCAAGGCCAGTGCAAGGCCAGGGCTCTACCCACTGTTGAATCTCTCTGGCCCAGTTAAAGGAATTTTAAAGTGATTTAACTGATGCTCTTCTATAAAATGGAATACAGATATATAAACGTTTTAGTTGTGATTATGGAAATTTCTGTATGTTTTGATAAGTCTGGCAAAACATGGTTGTATAGTATTTATTCATGATTTTTAGGCAAATATTTTACATTTATCTTTCTGTGGACCATGAAACTCAAATAGGCCTGTACTTTCTGAAAAATAAAATTCTTGAACTATTATTGCAAAATATGGTTATTCTAGTAGTATGATTATGTTATAAACAACTGTATATATGTGTCATTAAAATATAAATATGAACTAGTTTAAATACTAGTGTATGTACTAATTGTGTTCTGGGAATTAAGATTATTCATAATCTATCTGAAATAGCTGAGATTTGAGGTTAAGTTTATAATTCAGAATTAACATGGAATTTTTTACATTGCCCTGGATACGTGGTAATAGGTTAGATAGTACTCAAATGTTTTGGTTTTCCTAAGCTTATTCATTCAATAGGCACTGAATTCTTAGCTTTATTGTTATTATTTTAAACAAAATATCACACATTTATTGAGAGCATCCACTTATCCTCAGCTCTGTACTAGTTATTAAAGCATCATTATGTTTTTGTTGTTCGAATCTTTGGGGGCCACACCTGGAGGTGCTTAACAACTGCTTCTGTGTGTTGCACATTCCTTCCCGGAGGTTCTTGGAGGAACCAGAGAGTCCCAGGGATTAGAACCTGGGCCTCCACATGCGGAGCCTCCACTAACCAGCTCCTTGAGCCCCAGATGTTACAACATTTAATTATTACAGCAGCGATCAGCTGTTGAATATTGTTTACATTTAGTGGAAGAGGAACAGGAGCCTAGAGAATTCACATCACCTTGTCCAGTTCTGTTTGACTTTCCCTCTGTACTGCACTGTGAAGATTTGTTCTGTTCCTGGGAAGACATTGAGAGCCTTAATTTAATCAAGTATTTCCTGAGCAACTGTTACATACCAAATACTCATCCGATGCAGGGGATAGAGCAGGGAACAGAAAGAAAAATTCCTTACTCTTTGGGGGGTTCTAATGTGTAACGTGTAAAACTGGCCTTCAAGAAGCAGGAAATAATTTGCCTGAATAATGTAGATTGTCTGTGTTCTATTTTATTGTTTTTCTCATGTGTGTGGGCACTTTCTTTTACTTGGCCTACTTAGGAACACTTGGTCCACACTGGCATTGCTGGGGTGGGACGCTTGTGTGGCCAGGGCTGCCTCTTAAACCCAAGGCATGTGCTCTACCCCGTGAACCTCACCCCTAGCCACGGAGTTTTTGTGTTTTAAAAATACAAATGCTAACAAGAGCCATCAACCAGGGAAAATTTTCTGAAGAGGATGAGAGGTGATCTAGAATTTCTGTGAGGAAGGATTTGCTAAAGACACCTTGGGAGCCAGTGATTCCAAGTTGAGGCATATGAGGAACAAAATTCTGAAGGCTGGATCTTAGGGGAGGCAGGGAACAGAAACAGATCAAGGACTGCCTTGTACTTTTGGTCTCTTGTACATGTAAAACAGTGTTGGTCGAATTGGAAGCAAATGTTTCTCATGTTGATGTCAGTGTTGCAATTTGAGTAAATGAAGCCATGTTCCACGTGAGCCACTGGGCTGGGTGCTGGCATCAGCATGTATTAGTGAAGCAATGGAAGAGCACGGTGGTGAGTCAGTGAGAAGGAGGTAGTGTAGAAGAAGGGGAGGAAGGGACGGGTTTGCAAGCTGTTGGGGAAGGAATCCATGAGCTCTGGAAACTGCTGAGTGTGACGTAGGGTGAGGTCAAAGGGGAGGGGAATCTGGGCTCACTGATTTGAGTTGAGTGGACCATCTGAATTGTGCATTTGATCGGTTCATCAAATCATGAGATTAAGCAAATTTCAGTATGTCTCATTATTTCATGAAGCATTACGAAAGAAAACATTTGCCAGTTGGGCAGGTTGTCAATGATAAGATTCCGTTTCAGAGTTAAAAATGAAGACTGTGATCTAGAAATGATGAAATAAACTACTCCTACTAATAATTGATGAACCTTAAAATCACTGAATTCGAGCAGCTATTTGTAATTAATTTTGTAGTTTGAGATAGAACTGTGTAACAAGAAAAATAGGCATCAATCAGATATTCTGTGGAAGAAATTGAGGGATGCAGCCCTTCTAAGTGCTGGGACAAAAATAACCTGAGGATCTAAATACAGAGGGAAAATGAATTACAGAGGAATGATTGTGAATGGGGAATGATGGTATCTTGGACAAAGTAGTGGTGATGACAGATGGAAGTGGATGGGCTTTTGAGATGCTTAAGAAGTTGATTTGAATGATAGACTAGATATGAGTATTGATCGGAGAGGAACCATCAATGGTTTATACAATAAATAATGGAATGGATTATTATACAAGTCATTGAGAGAGAGCATTGTGAGATGACCAGGTTTGGGGACATTTATTTATTTATTTATTTATTTTTTAAATTTTTATTAGTGGAACACCATGAGGTACACTTGTAGATTTACAAATTTTTGTGCTTGGGTTTCGATTATACAATGATCAAGTACCCATCCCTCCACCAGTGCCCATTCTCCACCACCACTGATCCCAGTATTCCTCCCGCCCCCCATCCCCCCATCCCCGCCTGCCTCTGTGGCAGGGCATTCCCTTTTGTTCTCTCTCTCCTTTTGGGTGTTGTGGTCTGCAAAAGAGGCATTGAGTTGGCAGTCAAGTTCAGTCCATAGTCTACTTTCAACATGTATCTCCCCTCCTGGGAGGATCCTCCAAACACCCTTTATTTGGTGCTCCCTTCTCTATCTGAGCTGCCCTTTTTTTCATTATAGCATCAGTGTTCAAGTTAATTTCTTTTTCTTTTTATGCTGTTTTTTTAGATTTTTTTTTGTCTTTGGGTTTTGAGCTGCACTTGACTGTACTCAGGGGTCACATATAGTGGTGTTCAGATCATATATGTTACTAGATATCAAACCTTGGTTAGTTGTGTGCAAGACAAGTACTTTGCCTGCTGTACTGGTAAGGCCCTGAGATTAATTTTTTCAGATTTTTTTTTTGTTTTTGAGTGAGCAGGGATGATTTTCTATATTAAAGGATTTGGAAAAAATGCTGATGTTTATTTTTGATTTATATATGGCATCCAGACATAAATGAATAGGTAACCGAGTGATATAATTATATGTCACCTTTATTTTCGCTATGGATTTAGCAAATTGGGCATCTGATTAAATTCTAATTTATTTCAATTGGTGTGTATATGTAAATATGGATAAGTATTAGGGAAAAAGGCATACTTGATTTTTCC